TTCCTGAACCACCTGTCTTGATGAGAAAGAGTCAACCCAGAAGATCATCTAGCCTAGTGGCCTTTGTGTATTTTCAAAACAGAACTGAAGGGGAGAAGTAATTAGTTTCTCCTTCTATTAGAGTATGAAATGTGTTTTCACTGCAGGTCCCATCTTTAATTTTTCTTAAAAGTTGTGCATTTTGCATGCAGGTGCAGAACTAACATGCTCCATACTAATTATTCTCTCTTACGTTTTCCAAAAGGAGTGGCTTTCAAAAGGACATGGAGAATACAGAGAAATCCCAAGTGAGAGAGACTTCTTCCAAGAAGTCAAAGAAAGTAAAAATGTGGTTTGCCATTTCTATAGAGATACAACATTCAGGTATAGTAAATAAGCTGTGCTCAAGAAACCTTTTGTTTATAGATGTCTACAGAAACAGACATGTTTTTATTCTTTCAAATTCCACAAATGAATAGGCGTTTTTAAAGTAATCAGATTCCTTCATTTTCCAAATCTCATTCCCTTCTCAAACATTTGATTTTTAATTTTTTTCCCCATTCCAGTTAATCTGAACATGATCTGACAACAATTAATACTCTGTTAAATAGTTAATTAGAATATAAATGGATAACTTCTTTGACAGTATTTGAGAGTGTTGTGTTTCATTATTTTATTTGAGGGAGCCAGGTCTCTGAATGTAGTGATTATGTGGTAGCAACATTTCAAATAGATCACTTTGGTTATTCTGGACAGTTCTGACAAGCAAAAATAAAAATATGATCAAAAACTTCAGTCTAGACATCTTCAGAGTTTAACCTTTTACATTGAGAGGATGTGGATACCAGTTGCAGCTCAGCTGCTTTCCCTTTGTGCCTGTGCCCTTGTGATTATGTCACACTTCTAGGGTATGAGATGCCTAGACCTGAGAATATGTCCTGGCTCAGAATAGGAATCTAAAATAAGATCTCCCACTTCCTTGAAAGAATGTTGGATGTTCTGGGTTGTAGGCTGTTCCTCAGTGGGTCTGTCTCGATACCTTCTCTTAAAATGCAGTAGCAAAGTAAGAGTAGTTCATTGAAGGAAGAGCCAGTTGTCCTGGTTTTGGTGTTGGTTGGTTATGCCACCCCCCACCCAAGGTGTTATATTCTCTCTAGCTTACAGAATATATATATAAACTGAAACAGTCTCAATGTGAGAAACTGAAAGAGGTCAAAGCTGGATTATGTTGAAATGAGGCATCTGTATTCTAAGTTAAATATTGAAGCTTCAGAAATACGTGAAGCAGTTGTATCTGGCTAGCTTTTTCTCGAAGAAGTCGAAATACTATCTTTGAAGATAAGCAGCTTAGAACATATTTGGGTTGTTTGTTTCTCGTTTCTTGAATTAACAAAGTCTATACGCTCAGTAGAAAGAACTTAAGAGAAAGTTCTTTCTAAAATGTGTCATGCTGACAGCTAGCTTGAAGCTAGTGTGTTAGGCTTACGGACCACACTATCAAGTTGTTTTCATCCTTGTCCACCCCAGCTTTTTGATCTGCTGGGCTCCCCTCTGGAGTTGAAGGACAGTCACATCACAGAGTTCATGCAGCTAAATCAAACCACTTAAAGAAGACAATCCGGAAAGTTGAGATTGCAGCTGACAAGTCTACAGATCTCTGCCGTCTGACAAGTATTTTGAGCAGTTCTTGTTACTGTCCCTTAACTGAGAAACAGTGATTGTATGCTCACTCCTATTCCATTGCAACAGAAAAGCAAACTATTTTTGCCTGTAGCACTACTGAAGCAGACTGTGCAAATCACTTATTTTTATTTTCCTGTACAGTAAGTTACCACATGTCAGTTGTGGGGGTGGTGACTGAAAAACACCAAAATGCTGTAACATGTTGAGAGCACTTTTCTGGCAATGTGAAGTTTGTTAGGGATTTTTCCAGCTGACAGGCTGTGAGCTAGAGCAGGAGTTAGAGGGAAATTTCGTCAATAAATGTGGGCCTCAAGAAACAAGAGAGGCTTTCAGATGTATGTGGGAGTAATTAGGAAGAAATTAGAGAAATGGATGGTGTAATTGTGCAATAAAGGTGCTCCAGGCTGTTGTTCTAGTAGTCATCAAATCCAGCTACCTTTGAAACAGTTTCTCTTGAAACTAAATTCTTAATTACAAAGGTCATGTCTGAGGAATTAATGTGATAGAATTAGCTCTTCACTGTTCCTTTTAAACTTTCTCTAAAATGCTTATTCTTCAGCTTATTGAGTCTAACACTTCTATATATTTTGGGTTTTTTTCACAGGTGCCAAATAATGGACAGACATTTGACTGTATTGGCAAAAAAGCACATTGAGACAAAATTCCTGAAATTAAATGCTGAAAAGTCTCCTTTCTTGTGTGAGAGACTGCGCATCAAAGTACTTCCCACTCTAGCACTGGTAAAAGATGGAAAAACACAAGACTATGTTGTGGGTTTCACTGATCTCGGTAACACTGATGACTTCACTACAGAGACCTTAGAATGGAGATTAGGCTGTGCAGATGTAATTAATTACAGGTAATTAACTGGTTTGGGATTGTTTTATTTTCAGATCCAGTGCAAGGAGAATGCGCTCACAGGCAGGAGAATCTGTAATAGTTTGTAACTTGGGTACATCTGACACACAAGAGTTTAATCCAGTTGTTTAATCTACTTACTTTGGCAAGGGAAAGAAGAGGGTATCTCCTCAGCAGAGTACTAAGACATTGTAATGAGCATTATGTTGTCCTTTCTGTACAGTAACAAAAATAAACCAGTTCTTACCCTGAGGTGTACAGAGTAGATATGGTGCTTTAATGTGGCCTTTCAGAGTCATGCATCTAATGGAATCCTTTCTAAATCAGCTATAGATTCTTGTGTCACACCTGCAATGCAGTAAAGTTTGAGCATTTTTAATCCATCAGAAAACATAGCAAGTTATCCTTAAACTGCATCCTAGCCCATTCTGCATATATGAATATGAATTTTGGTTTTCAATAAACAGTACAGAAAGTGAAAATAAGTTGCAGAAGTGCAAATAAGTAATTTGTGTAGCACTACAATATAGTTATCAGAAATCCCACATTTAAGACTATAGGATAGAAGGTAGTAGTAGGTAACTGTCACCACAATAGCCTGTCTTTACAGGAGAATCATTTACCAGAACTTTCTGCTTTGCTTTCCAGTGTGGCTTAAACATCATTATCTTTTAAGTTAATTTTGCTCTTTTGAATGTTTGGGGTTTTTTTTGTTTGGTTTTTTTTTGGGGGGGTTGGGGGGCATTATTATTTTAAATGAATTATCTGAGTTTATTTCAGTCTCTAATTTCCATATTTTTGGAAGAAGTATTGTATCTTAAGTCAAAGAAACTGCTGTTCAATTTAGCAGATGTTGGAACTTCAGATAAAATGACTAAAATAAATGAAAATCTATAATGAAATGAAACTCTGTAATTCAGAATGAGTGGTAATAGTGGCTTAACAGTTCGGTAACAAATATGCAGAGGAGTCAAAGACAGTTTGGCTATATGTTCTAAACAGCGACAGCCTTTTAGAGGAAATGTCTGTCAGTGGAGTTGTACCAAGCTAGAACTGTGTATTCCACTCTTGGAGCTCATTGTGGAGTGGGAAGTTGTTTCGTTCTTTGTTCATTTTGCCAGATCCTGAATTTGGTACCCTGGCTTTGCAAAATGAACCACAGGATCTGCACAGCCCAGGAGATCTGTTGGAAGCATTCATTTGTGTACAAGTGTTGCATTTCCACGCTCTCCAATTGTAATGTCCCATGCTCTGGAGCTCCTGAAAGGAGATAGTCCTCCTCAGAGCCTAGAAACAGCTCTTTTCCTTCAACCCATGGGAGAGCAGACAGTAAAGGATATATCGTATTTAGAGGGGAAAAAAGCTTGAGGTGACACTGTTTGACCAAAATCAGAATTCAAGTGACATATTGGCTTATTACTGATGTGTAATTAGCTGGCAATCAGTGAACTGCTAATTTAGGATCAATATCAGCAAAATGTTGATACCTATGCATTTCTAAACATCCTTCCATAGCTATTTCCATAAGGTTCTAATTGCTCACCTACTCACTGACACTTAAATACAAACCCCTCATGGGTGATGTGAGTGAAAGCATTCACACCCTTTTCTGAGCAAGGAGAGGGTATTCCCCTCCTTGTGCATCCCTGCTATAGGAGATGTGGGTGCTCCAGCTTTATGCAAGTGCCTGCTGTTCCCAAAAAACCCTGGGCACACACACTGGTGAGGGAGTCCTACAAGGTATGCATGCACACTATGAATCCCTCCATAGTCTGCTAGCTGGAGTGCAGTACCCAGTGGGGAAGCTGCTCTGTCGGCTGAGATAGTACAAAGTGACTTCTGGCAGTACAAAACCCAGTTCATCTGTTTCTACTCCAAAGTCCCTGTTACAAAACTTTAGCTGCTTTTGTATTTCTGGCTTCTCACTTGTTTTGAAAAGTCTCTCTAATTCCCTGGTTACTGCATAATCATAGAATCGGCTAGATTGGGAAAGACCTTCAAGATCATCAAGTCCAACCTTTACCTCAGGACTGCCAAGTCCACCTCTAAGCCACATCACTAAGGGCCTTGTCTACACATTTCTTGTAATCTGGCAGATGGATGTCTTTAGTTTGGAGCAAAAGCCCTCTCACACAGAGTTTGGGGTTTTTTTTTCTCTAGAGCTCCACTCACAGCTGCTGTTCATGTGCACACTCCTGTCTTAAGTACAGTTACCCAGGCCATTTTGTCCAGGATGTGCTATGCTAGCAACACCACAGTGCTGCTTAGGGTGGCTTTAGGGAGTACGGGTTGTGTTCTCTCACAATGTTTTTCTGGAGAACCAGGTAATAAGAGCTACTACTTACTGTCTGCATGAATATGGCTTTAATGAACATCTCTTACTCTTTTCCTCTAGTGGTAACTTGATGGATCCACCTTTTCAAAGTCAAAAGAAATTTGGAACAAGCTTTACAAAGTTGGATAAGAAGACCATCAGAGGAAAGAAATATGATTCAGATTCTGATGATGACTAGAATGGCAGCTATATGTATTTATAAATCATCTTTTGTTTATGCTTGGTACATTTCTAAGAATGTTTTTTATACAGCTTACTGCTTTTCATTACATCTGCACATAATGCTCATTTTTCTATACAGTTTTATACAACTGAGTCATAGCAGAAAAAAGCTTAACTATTTTATTTTACCTCTTTTGGAAGTCATTTGTAATTAAAAAATCTGAGTCCTTCTAATTAAATACTGTGGCAAATGATGAACTTTGTCTTAAGTATAAGTTTCTGAAGTGTTTTGAAGTAACTGTTAGAAACAACTGTACCGAGTCACACCAAAGGTCCCTCTGGCCCAGCATCCAGTCTCAGTGGCCAAAAGCAGATGCACAATGAAGAATAAAAACGGGGTGAGGAGATAACAATGCTTTCCCAGAATATACTTTAAGCAGTCTCTGTGGCATGGGAACTCCATATCTGAGAGCATTTGCTGGTTAAAATCATGGAAGAAAAATCTCTTTAAATCCTTATAGTATCCTAGCATCCATATCATATGGCAAGGAGTCTACAGTTTAACTGCTGTGCGAAGAACTACTTCCTATTGCCTTTCTGGAATCTGACAGTTCAAGGGCTTTTTTTTTTTCTTTAATTTGCTGATTTTCTTCATTAAAGGAGATGATGGACGCTTTTTAAAAAGATTTTTCCCTATCACTTCCTCTTCCAGTTGTCCTTTAAAATCTATTATTACTTTTCAATGAAGCACCACAAAATGATTAGTAAAGGAATTACGCATTTTAGCAAATGATTGCTTAGCTTATGGTGCCATATCATGATATTAAATAACTAAACTACGTTGCACTATGAGTTGTAAAAACAGTCGTAACCTCTGTGAATTCTGAAATAGATGGTCAAGAGAAATGCCCTTTTACCATCTGCATAGGCTGCATGTTAAAGCTGATACAGTGGGTAATAGCACATAGCAACAAGCATATTGAAAACAGCCTTGTTCACGGGTTTGTATAATTCTGTGGTTGTGAATGTGTGGATTTTATAGCAGATGCTTTGTACAAGAGAGTAGAATAGAGAAGTATTTGGGAGAAACCTTGATCTGTTAAGTTTAGATATAGAGCCGTATACTGTGTACTGTTCTTCAGTAATGGACAGAGTTTTCAAGGGAGGCCTTCCTTGGAACACAATGCAAAATTTCTGGCTAGGTGAAGAGTTGATGAGTGTTCTTTTCATTTGAAAAAATAAAAGGATAAAAAAATTGTTTGCTTTGTGCTGAAGGACCCTTTTGAGGTGGTACTTTGAATCCCGTTGGTCCAAAAAGCAGTGAAGTGCGTCTAGTCAGTCTTGCCGCCTTGTAGTGGAGAACACTTGTGATTGGGCCAGCCCAGCAATATATGTCTGTAAGTAAGTTTAAAGAATTATATTTTATTTCTGTTCACGTACATTGGAATAAAATTATTTTAATTCTAATGCTGACTTTTGCATCCTTTCGGATAAGGTGGCCTGGGTGCTGCAGGCTTTTTTTTTCTTTCTTTAGGTAAGGTCCATCAGAAAGTTGCATGTGCTTTTTTTAGATTCCTAGCAAATTGCATAGAATTCTAGTATTACAACATCACATTGAGAAGGCAACCAGCTTAAAATGTACGTAGCTGCCTGTTAATCTACTAGCAGCATAAAGCAGACTTGCTTTGAGTTGATCTTTTTAATGCACAAACTCTCTAAACGCACTAGAAGGGGCTTTCTTTTTTTTCTAATCCAGTTGCATGAAATACCATTTAGGAAACCAATGTTCCAACAGTATTTTTAAGAGTGCCTTAGCAGGACTCATCTCTGAGTCCTAATTATGTCGAACAGGCTGTGGCAATATAAAATCATGTCTAGCATAGCTGAGTGCTGTGTGGAAACACGTGGGCTTGTCAGGATTCTAGCATGGTGCATTATTAGAGGCTATTCAGTTCCATGTGTGAATAGCCCCATTACAGACTCCATGCAAATCCTAGTCAGAGTCTGTGGTTTCATGTCATTTCAGCTGCTGATGTTTTTTCTAGGTTAATCTTCCTTCCTCGGACCTCTTCCTTCGTCTGGCTTGTAATACAGCAACACGCACTCCAGTGCTGACACAAGGAGTTTGCAGAAATGCATGGTTTGGATAAAAGGGGAACGTGAGACTCTTTGTACTAATAAGTTTATCCTCTCCATTCTTGATCTGCATATTACTTTGAGATGAGCAATCCAAATCCAAGAATTTTATTTTGGCTGAACCTTAGAAATTCTTTGAGAACTGGAACATCCCAGTGATTTAAGTAGTGAGGAACAAATTATTCTATGGTAAAGCTCAGTGATTTTGCAATGCAGATTAAATAACGAAGTGTCCATGATAGTTAAGACCCGAGTCAGCAAGCTAGGAGTGTAAACAGTATGGAGAACAGCAACTCAAGCTCATGTTAGCTGTACAGACTTGAAAAGCACGAAGCTTGTCAACAGCGATCTAGTGGCAGCGTGGCTGATGGATGAGAAGGTGACAGTGATGTGCAATATCTAGAAAGGATGCAGGTTGCATGGGATTGCCTACCACAGATTGATGGTGTATGTAAGGACGTGACTAAATAAGGTTCCTGAGCCTAGAGTAATCACAAAATGGTAGCTGGTCTGGCATGTATTAGCCATGAAAGGGTATTATACAATAAAGAGATGAGAAATGTCCACATAGAGCTTTTGAAGTTGTAGGGCTTATGCATGAACTCGGCATGTAACTTTAGTAATGATTCGTGCTTAAGTCTCTGCTTGATGCTCGCATGAAGTAGTCATTAAAAAAATGCATGCAGACAATAGTAATAAACAAGATCTGCATTGTTCAGCTCTTTGTTAAAGCTAGATTATTGACTGGGAATACTTTGATCACTGATTGATCCCTCATTATGGGACGGTCTGCTTGCAAAATCTACCTGAAAGTTGAGTGCTGAGTTAAGCTTTGGGATTTGGGAAGTGTGAAGAAGTCTGGTCCCTGAAAGAAGGGGAATGAGAAATAAATCCAGAGCGGGTAACAACTGAGCAGCTGCTCTCAGACCCCATTAGCAGGCTGGATTGCCTGCAGCTGTCATCAGCAGTCATTGAAGGAGGCTGACCCTAAAGATGGATTGATGCCTTCCAGTCCTTGGTTCCAGGTAATCCACACTGTGGTATTTCCCATCTAGAAATTCTAAAAGGAATAATTTTTAGCATATATTTATAGAAAATCTGGGGTTTGAACAGTACAGTTTCTAAAGCAAACCTTTTGTCTTCCACATAAGAGTAAAGCCAGTGTCCTCAACCCAGTGTGAGGGATGCTGTCGTTTTGTCTCTCGCATACGTGCACACAAAACCAAGCACAAACTGGTGCATTAATAATTCAGCTTTTGTGCTCATTGCACATTCAATAGCTGTGTATTCCAGTTTCTAAAAGGAAAATGCTGTCAGTAGTGGATTGATCTGTGTCTCTTCAGAACAGCTGTATATGACAGTTCAGGAGTGAGGGCTATGCTCTGGAATTTAAGGAAAGCCTCTCTAGGAATCAGAAGTGAAGAGCACTTGAAGTTACAGTAGAATGTTTTAGAACCATTCTGAGGACAGTGTTGCCCCTAAGAATAAATAGATGGATAGGTTCCTCCACATAACTGCTCCAAAGGTCTACTCCGATCTTCTGTTCTTGGGTCATGCTTTGGAGTTTTCAGTGTTAAGCCTGTCTAATGTGAGCATGGTGAACCAAGACATTCCAGTCTTCCAGATGCTCCTTGTTAGCTGTTCCCCTGCAGAGCACCATTCTGCATTGTACGCTGCAAAAGGGAACATGTGCCTCCTTCATCAGTTTGAGCTAACATATTAAACTGGCTAAAGTAGTACATAAGAGATCATATCATCACCCCAAAAAACTCTTGCTCAAATTTGGTGCATTAATTTCAAGTGCATGTGCACTGAGTGATATTTGATGCTTGCTGATAGAAAGGAACTAAAGAAAACCAACTTCTAGAGATGCCACGAGGTGCATATTCTAAGGCTGTATGTTTTTTGGATTAGCCATTACAGCCATGGCTTTAGCTGCCTAAAAACTACCACTGATCCAGGAACCAGGAACCTGTGTCAGCTCAGTGTTGAAGCCATGTTGATATACCTTGCCTTTTGAACACAACCTGTTCAGCCATTATCTGCCTGTTGGTATGATTTCAACACGTGACTCCTACAAAAAAGGTTTAAAAATTAACTTATCTGCTTCACAAACTATGCAACCTCCAGTAACCATTGGCTTTTCCCAAGATGACATCATATGAAAATCAGGTGACTGTAATACACAAAGTCACATTAATTCCTTTCCTAATCTTCTTCCTCCTTGCTAATTGTTTCTTTTGTTAGCGTGCTGCCCTAGAAAGAGGTCTGAAATTGTTTCCTGTTTGGTTCCTAAATTGTTGATAGTCCTCACTGCTTTGTATGATGAATTCCAGGCACACAGAAAGATTCTTAATGGTTATAACAGAATGGTTTGAGTTTGAACAGACCTCAAAGCTCATCAAGTTCCAACCCCCTGCCGTTGGCAGGGACACCTTCCTCTAGACCAGGGTGCTCCAAGCCCCGTCCAACCTGGCCTTGAACACTGCCAGGGATGGGGCAGCCACAGCTTCTCTGGGCAACCTGTGCCAGGGCCTCAGCACCCTCATAATGAAGAACATCTTCCTTATATCTAATCTGAACCTCCCCTCTCAGTTTAAAGCTATTCCCCCTTGTCCTGTCACTACATGCCCTTGTGAAATGTCCCTTTCCAGCTTTCTTGTCGACCCCTTTTAGGTACTGGAAGCTGCCCTAAGGTCTCCCCAGAGCCTTCTCTTCTCCGGGCTAAACAAGCCCAACTCAGCCTGTCTGCATGGAAGAGGTGCTTCTCTATGTGGGTCCCTGAACTGCACACAATACTCCAAGTGAGGTCTCACGAGAGCAGAGCACAGGGGCAGGATCACCTCCTCTGACCTGCTGGTCACGCTTCTTTTGATGCAGCCCAGGATACGGTTGGTTTCTGGGCTGTGAGTGCACACTGAAGCTGGCTCATGTTGAGCTTCCCATCAACCAGAACCCCCAAGTCCTTCTCCACAGGGCTGCTCTCAACTCATTCTCTACCCAGCCTGTTGCTTGAGGTTGCCTGGTCCCAGGTGCAGGACCCTCTCCTGGCTCAAACTTCAAACGACTTGCTTTAGGTGATAGATCTCTCTTTAAGCTGGGTTGTGAACTGAAGTCTCATATGAGTCAGTCCAGTGACCTCTTTGCTAGAACACCTTTCCTAGAGTAAAAATCAAAGTCTCATTTTAGAGAACAGAAGGAAAATACTTTTTTCCTCATTCATAAACACTTGTGGTCTGAGTTGTTTTACATGGCAGCTAGAGAGATACTTTGTGCGGAGTGGCTGTCATTTCTATGTCCACCTGCATTCTTCAGAAAGGCAAGATAAAGGAA